GTGTGTGTGTGTGTGTGTGTGTGAGAGAGAGAGAGAGAGAGAGAGAGAGAGAGAGAGAGAGAGAGAGAGAGAGAGAGAGAGAGAGAGAGTTGAAGTTAGGACATCAGGCTCCGAAGCAGAAGACTGCATCATTCCCGGTCCGAAACGCCATGTACCAGGCCACTGATGGATCAGGCTCCCAAGCAGACGACTTCATCACTCCTGATCCGAAACGCCATGTAGGTAAACCGGGCGACTGATGGATAACCAACTCCCAAAAAGCTCAGAGTCCCCCCCACCCCCTACAGGGTTAGGTAGAATCATAAACTTGAAATTGAATTTCCTTGCACGTGGGCTGGTGTAGGCAGCTCGCTGCATAACAATCAGACCAGATTTCCATCATACGAACCTAGCAGCACACTCATGTCTTCACCCGAATACAACTTACGGTCATTATAGCTGCTGCATATGGGGCAACTTTGAGTCTTGATATAGCCATAATGACCGTACATTATATTCCAGGGAAGAAGGTAGCGCGGTCGCACACAAACCTGGCCGCACTCTAGTAGCCAGGTCGCCCACTAACCTGGCCGCACACTAACCTGGTCGCACACTAGCCTGCTGCCACAGTAACAGTTGCGTGGTCACACTCAAGTGGCTTGTTCGCACACTACCTGGTCGCCACACTAGAAGCCTGGTCGCCACTCACCTGGTGGAACGCTATTAGCTTGGTCGCGCACCCACCTGGTCGCCACACTAGAAGCCTGGTCGCACACTCGCCACGTCAGAATCAACACTCAGGGTATACTCACACCAAGGCTTTTTCCAGTTCTCTGTGGACGTAATCGCGGTCAGGTGCATCCAGGCCAGGTTGGAAAGCGGTCATATACTGGATAGTATGCCCTTATACTGCATAGGATCTGGTCGCCCTAGGCGACGACGGCCGATGTGGGTGTGGGTGGGGCTGAGGAGAGAGTAACGGGCGGCACCATTGAGTGGGTGAAGACCTCCTCCTTTTCTCCGGTTTCTCCCCATCCACTCCCTGGTACTCACTCTCCTGCTCTTTTTCGTTGACATCTTCTCGTCGATCTTCTTCGCGGCCACCGTCTCTGTCGCAACGATCTTCCTGTGCGGCACTTCCTGTGCGATCACTGTGCACCACAAGGCTGCCTGTGCGGCATTTCCTGTGCGGCAGAGGACTGCCTGTGCAATCTTCGAACACCTGATTGTATTTTATAGCCGGCCGGCTGTCCTGGACTTGCTTATGGATTAAGCCAGAGTCGAGATGTCGTGTGATCCCGACCTCCGGCATGAGGCTTTTGCATAGCGTTGTGACCAGCCGCGCATTGAACCGGTGATGGAACAACCACACCGGCAGCTCGTTGGGATCGAACCGGAAGGGTTCCTCTAGGTCCCGAGCCACCTCATTCAGCATGTCGTAGCCTAGAACCATCAGAAAGGCAACTAATCCCGACATCCAGAGGGAATCGATCCATCCAACGGCCAGCGCGGGGGTGATAAGGAAGGCCACAGCGTAGATGAACACGGTAATGCATTGCGCGTAAGGGAAGGGAAAGGGGGTGTTTGCAAGCTTGTAAGAGTTCTCGAACCCTAACATACCGTCAGATAGGACTTGGTAGATTCGAGATACGACGGGAGCATCCACCTTGATACCCCCTTCCATGCGGCGGGCGACGAGCGAGCGATGCAACCAGCAATGGACACAATGAACCCGATCTTCGGTTTGGGAGAGCACCTCCCTCTCCTCCGGGCTGATTCCGCCCAAGACAGGCAGAGAGAAGATCCTGCGGTAGGTCTTCATGTGCCGCTTGGCAGGGAAGAGAGAGAAGTAGTCCCACAGCGAGATACACTTGTACCATTCCTCGACATCGCCGGGATCGGGAGACGGTTTGGGCGTCGGGATATCGACCAGACTTCCAACGGATAGGTTATTAATGTCGGAATCTCCACGAAGCTTCTGCATGGCCAGGGCATGCATCAAGCTCATCAGATGAACGAACTCGGCGCGGAACTTGATACCGTGCTCTGCGGGCTCGCCCGTGGCCGCCTCGTCGAAGGCGACCACCTGGATGGACGCGTCGCTCCACTTGGATGACATCTGTGCCACCATGGTTCGGCCTTCCCAGTATCGGGCATAACTCAGGTTCGTTCGTAAGGCTATGATAATCCCCAGCAGGGTGCCAACCACCATCAAAGCGTTAGGATGCCTCTGCACCGCCCTAAGATACTCCCGCGTGGGTACATCCCACTGAAGGAACATCGTCAGCATCCCCACGGGCACCGCCAACACCATCGATCGAGGTAACGCTGACCCATAGGCTCGACCAAACAGATTAATAGCTCCTACGTGCTTCTCGTAAACAATCATCTTCCGTTTCTAACCGTCTCTCTCTCTCTCCTGTCTCTTATACACATCTAGATGTGTATAAGAGACAGGAGAGAGAGAGAGAGAGAGAAATAAACATATCGACG